CGATTCATATCCAAAACCAGTTTATGCAACGCAAATGCGAGTAAAAGTTAGGTGAAACCCAGTGGCTTTATTCATTAGACATATTGGGGAAACCATCACCATAGCTCAAATTTATGTAGATGACATCATTTTTGATTTTCCTATAGATTTTCTTGCTCATGAATTCGCTGAATGCATGAAGCAAGAATTTGAGATGACTATGGTTGGAGAATTAAATTACTTTCTTGGTCTCTAAGTTAAACAAACCGATGATGGGTTGTTCATATCTCAATCGAAGTACGCTAAAGACCTTGTCAAACGTTTTGGACTAGAAGGGAAGAAATACACTAGAACCCCCAGGAGCACTAGTGTCAAGTTAGGGTTTAGGGTCCTACAGGTAAGAGTGTTGATGAGACACTGTATAAGAATATGATAGGTAATTTACTTTATCTCACTGCAAGTAGACCTAACATAGCCTTTAGTGTTGGGGTGTGCACCGCTTTCAAGCTGATCCCAAGGAATCTTACCTGAGCATCATACGACGTATCATTAGATATATCAATGGAACCTTAGATTATGGATTCATGTACTCTCGGGACTCTAATCTTGACCTTAATAGCTATTCCGATGCCGATTGGCTAGGAAATGCTGATGATAGAAAAAGTACTTATAGAGGATGTTTTTATGTTGGTGTTAATCTTGTAGCTTGGATGAGTAAGAAAAAATTTTTATTTCATTATCTACAGTAGAGGCCTAATATATAACCTCAGGAAGTTGTTGCACTTAACTGCTTTTGATGAAGCAGATGTTAAGTGATTATGGAATTGATCAGGGAACTATGTCTGTGTTTTGTGATAACACTAGTGTCATCAATATTTCCAAAAATCCCGTTCAATACCCTCGAAGTAAACATATGGATATACAATATCATTTTATTCGAAAACTTGTAGAGACCCGTGTTGTAACTCTTGAGCATATCTCTACAGAAAATCAATTAGTTGACCCATTTACCAAACCATTAGATGGTCTGAGATTTGAATCTCTTATGATGGTTATTGGTGTTTGTGTACCTCTATAGTGGGGTTCTTTGATGCATGCTCGTACTTTAGCATTGTATGACATTGATTTATGCATACATCATATTTGTTTTTTGTTTTCTAGGTAGAAATTTCATGCATCATATTATTTTATTTTATTTTTTATTTTTTATTATTAGTTTTGTGTGCTTGGTGCATTAATCATTTAAAGAAAAAAAAATTGAAAAATAAAATGCGAGACTTAGTTTTTACATCATAATATATAATATACTTGAATTTGTTTGTTGTGATCAAGCATGGATTTAATCGATGAGTTGTAACATAGTTTCCATTACTGACTAATGTTATTTATGGAGTACCTAGTATAGATATCTCCATGTATCATCTGCACTGTACATACTATGATATTGTTAGCGGGACTCTACCGCGTGTGTGAGATTTGAGATGGCCATCACATGTTAGTAATGGGACTTTGAACATAAATTGACCTTGTTTATTAAACTAAGCTCAAGTTTATCCCCTGTAGCAAAAAACTCAATATCTTATGTTCTTCTTCGGAGCCTATTTGACTCGAGCAATTAAGCATACGTGAATTCTCATAACTTGGTGCATATGATCAACTGACTTGGGTTAACTGGCCTAAAGCTTGCTACATGGGTCATTTTAGTTGCTCAGTGAAGATGAGCCTGTACTTAAGACGTGAAAAATAATAATAAGCATAGAATATTGAAAGTTGTGAAAATAAATTATACTCAAAGTTAGGGGGAGAAAGGAAAATTTTCATACGAAATGAGCTTTTCTGTATAGGTTCTAATGTGCTTTAAGTGATTTGATTTTCATAAGAAGATGAATACACTTACTGACAGTGATGTTTAGCGTGTCATTTCTTACAAAATTAAAGTTTGGAATCCTACTTCCAAAGGATTAGTAACACTTTACACATATGGGTCACTTATACAATTTACTTCATGCTAACTTGAGTTATGTATATAAGAAGGGTTACTGTTCATTGCTTATACTTATGCATGTTAACAAATGGTTTTTTTGGGTTATTGTATGTTAATTATCGGTCCCTTGTCATTTGTGACAACAAAGGGGAGTAGTATATAGTAGATATTTTGATGGATATTTTGACACTTATAGTTTTTGATGTACTTAAAATTTTCAATTTGACATTAACATTGAATGTTAAAATTGTGATTCGAAGGTATATAATATTCGTTTCAGTTAGATTAAGTTTTGATTTTTAGTGATATCAATGTTTGTTTTGGTATGTTGGTTTACGTTGATATTGCATCTTATGGTATGAATCAATGCATCTTATTTTAGCTGGTATGACTAATGATTAACTATTTGAATTCTACTTATCCATATAACTGTTTCACGTGCTTTTACACTGGGTATTGAGTTGTCTGTTTTAGGAAACAGGTTTACAAAGGAAAAGTACATTTCAGTCAAGACAATTGGTTTGATACTAGTTATCGTGTGTTTGTATGTTTACTACCTTGACTTTAGATTTGTAGTTTTGTCACAGAATACCAAAGGGAGAGCTTGTTAGGTTTTTAATTTATTTGGCAAATCTGTCAACAAAAATGATTAGAATTAATTTGTTGTAAAAGTTAAGGAATAAGTTGCAAATATTATTAATTGAGTTGTATTAGAACCTTACTTTTAAATTACTTATTTCACAATTTTCAGTTCTTATTCCTTATATCTTCAAAATATAACTCATAAGCTTGCCCGACCTTCCAACAAGTAGGGTCAAGGGAGACTGGTTAACCATATACTCATATGCTTAATTTAATGGGATGGGATATAATAGAAAGATTTTGATAGAGATTTGACAAGAAAATCAGCGTATGCATGCTTGGAGAGGGTGACAATGGGGTCTTTTAACTGAAAATGTGTACGCACACAGCTCTGAGCTCGGCTTCCAAAATCAAACANAATAAAATCCCATCCTGTACAGCTCTGAGCTCGGCTTCCAAAATCAGACATGGTCCATACGATGCTGAGAAAGCCCTGATGCAGTGGCCTGTGTGATCCCTAATGATGCCTCCGCTACTTGCAAATCCCTCTTTGACGCATTCATCTGTGTTGATCTTGTAAGATCCCACTGGTGGAATGCACCAAACAACCATAATAGGTGGTGGTAGGCGAGGAAGAGACATGGAAATACCAAATAGGGGAGCAATTGTCACGTCTCCTAGCCAGTGCATAGCTCGAAAAAGTCCTTCGATATGAAGAAAATATATTACGCGGTAGACCTTCCAAATGATACATATGGCCACCATATGAATCTCCATATGCTTCGCGTCATTCCTCTCGGTCCTTAGAAACTAGAATGTCAGTACAGCGAACATAATGTCCAGAATACCGCTATCTCTGGAACCTCTG